CAAGAGAAGATGAAAGGCAAAACAGACTGAGCCAGAAGCAAAGGATAAACAGGCAATTCACAGAGGAGGGATCTCAGCTGGCCAATGAAGGCACAAAAGGCCACTTGACCTCATTAGCAAGCAGGGAAAGGCTAAGGAGCAGCATCATGGGACCCCATCGTGCAGCAAGCGGACTGACATCAAGTGAACGAGGCCCAGAGCAGAGGGAACCCAGGGATGTGGCTCCTGCAGTGACACGCGGGGCTGAACATACTCTCCAAGACCCAGCAGAGTTCTGGTGCTGGCACTAGACACAGGAACAGCTCCAACTGCTGGGAAGAACAGCCCTGAGTCCCCAGAAGGAGGGGACCCTGAGGAAGGAGGGAAACAGCCACAAACGGAGTACTATGCAGCGGTTAAAATGAACTGGGGCTTCTGAATTAACACAGATCTGAGCAGGGCAAGATTGAGATGAGCTAGCAGGTAAACATGCAAAGGGCACGGAGGGGATACTGATGGCAAATGGGGTGACAGGAATGTTATAAACCTGGACGGGGTGATGGCTATTCAGACCTATACAGTTACGACACATGCCAGTGACCTCTATGGTTACAATGGGTCACCGCACTGGTATGTAAATGATACCTGAAGGAGGCGGCTAAATAATAATAATAAAAAATTATCCCTATGAACCCGCATTTTATTTTATGTGTGTAGATGTTGCCTGACTGTAGGTGTATCACATGTGGCTGGTGTCTGTGGAGGCAGGAAGAGGACGTCAAATCCCCTGGAACCGGAGTCACAGATGGTTGTGAAGCACCATGTGAGTGCTGGGAACCAAAGCCAGGTCCTCCACAAGGGCGGCAAGTCTCTCAAACACGGAGCCACCTCGCCCGCCAGTGGATCTGTATTTTAAAAGTAAGTGGGGGCGAGGCACAGCGGACTTTAATTCCAGCACCCAGAGGGCCAAGGCAGGAGGATTTCTGTGAGTTCCAGGCTAGACTGGTTTACATGGTTAGTTCCAGGCCAACCTGGGCTACCAACTGAGAAGTGCACGGAGGTGGCAAATAACAGACGCAGGGCAGCAGTTTGGGGAAAAGAAGGGACTGGAAGGGCACGTGGGGGTTCTGTCTCTGTGCTTTATTTTAAATAAAAAAACAGAGAGGATTTGAGACGAATGCAGAGCCTGGCAAAGACAAGATCTATGGACAGGGGCGGGGTTTTGTTCCCCCCCCGTGCCCCTGAGACACTGAAGTTACACAACAGGAGTCTACCACCCTCAAAGAGCTGTCATGACTACGAAACCCATACCAGGGTGCCACCCTGGTCAGCACTGCTGTGGGGGCCCTCCCGTGCCCTTGACCTCGTGTGTCCTATCGTGTGTCCATAACACGCCCCCCCCCCAGAGCCCACAGGTTGGTAGAAGACACTTTAGTAAAGAGGATGGCCACAGTGTCTCACTCTGAGAAGCCTCCTTCATTCGCTCTGAAGCCCAGACTCTGAGCAGACAAGCATAGCAGGGACTACACACAGTGACATCGGCCTTGTCCACAGGTGAAGGTGGCCTTCGTGGAGAGGCTGCTAACCTGACATAGAGGTAGAGCTGGGGACCTGAGCCCCAGGCATTGTTGTCTAACTGCAGCCTCAGAACCTCTGACCGGATCCCTTTGAGGCATGGGATCAGAGGGATACAGCAGCCAGGACACTCCAAACTGATATGTATATTGTTCTGTGGGTTTTGTGACGGGCAAGAGTACATGGTGACACCCCTGTTAACGTCCAGATATGGTCTGTCCACACCCAAGAGTTTTGTGTTGGGAGCTTGGTCTCCAGTGTGGTGACATGAGAAAGGGCAGGATCTAAGGGGCGGAGCCTAGGGAGAGGTAGTTAGGCCATTGGGTGAAAGGCCTTAAAAGAGATTAAGATAGTCCTCCTAGGACCTCAGTTCCCAAAGGGCTGGTTGTTACAAAGGAACAAAGCGGCTCCTCCCCCATGTTCCTGGTTTCCTGTCTCACCATACAATCTCTCTATATACAAGCTCCCACCATAATGCCACCTACAGCTCTGTGAGGTAGACAAGAAGTCCAGAGGCCAAACTGATGAGGCAGCCCCAGCTTGGACTTCCAGCTCCCCAGGCAGCTAAATAAACCTCTTTATTTTACAAAGTACTGCACCTCAGGTGCTTGGTTATACAATAACAAACAGACTAAGATGGGTCCCAAAGGGATATGGGACACTCAATACCTGGCCATATTTTTGGTTGCCACAACCAAGGAAAGGGGAGCTGTTGTATGGAAGGCGGAAGCGAGGTTGCTTCAGCCAGGCTGCCAACACCTCTTTCCAGATCCACCCCTTTCAGTGTGTGGAGCTGGGGGACAGGAGACACAGTTCAGTCTGCTGCTGCTGGCTTTGGGACCCTGCCACCATAGCGCCAAATTATCCACTCCTCTGGATGACTCGAGGTGCATCCATCCTCACCCCCTTCCTCCTCTGGGGAATCAAAGGCTGGACGGCAGGGAGAAGGTCCCTTGTCACAGCAGTGACTAAGCCAGCATTCAGAGGAACAAGTTCTCGGAACAAGCTCCCGCATGACTTCAGCACGCTTTCCAATCAGAGAGACACGGTCACTACGGGGCTACAGTTAAGGAACTTTGTGTTGGTCACATGACTGCCCCCACTGGGAGGGGACATCACCATCCCATCTTTCAGATGAGGACACAGACCTGGGAATCCAAAAGCTGAGCCCAAACCAGGCTGCTACATAGACCTGGCTCAGTGGGCCCCTTACAACTGGTTGGAAGTTCGAGGGTACCCCTCAAAGATTCAAATCGCTGGCAGGGAAGTGTGGGCCTGAGTGGATTCCCAGTTTTTGAGAGGACTTTGTGCAGGGTCTCTGTGGGCATATGGGGCCTGAGAAGAGGCGTGGTTACAACTCTTTTGGTCCAGCAGGCCTGGACTTACACACCTGCTCTGTTCCTGACCATTAGTTTTCTCGTCTGTGAAAAGGACTTGAGAAAACCACCACTAAAGGTGTGTGAAAGCACCAGACGGGACAATGATGCCAGCCCTCGGTGGCTGTAGCTATTCTGGTTTGGCGGGCTCACAGATCTGGTGGGTTCACAGATCTGGTGGCAGGCGGCATAGAGGATTCCAGACTTCCTCCAGTTGGTGTGTTACTGAAAACTGTCCCATACCCAACTCAACAGGCTCCAACAAGAAACCAAGATTTGGCAGCATTCTAAACAGTTAAGGGGAAAAAAAGGGGTGGGGCATGGGGAAACCAAGACAATTTAGCTGAGCTCTGAAGCAGGGAAAACTTAGCTCTATTTAAAGATACCACAGGTCCAGGAAGCAGCCCCCGCTGGCTGGCCCAGGACTGAGTAACTGAATGCCTAGCCAATAACAATACACGGGAACACAGCACACCCTTTCTTGTAGAGTGCAGTGGATCCTGGGCCATCTCCTTCCAGAATTTTATGAGCGACTTATGGAAGGCATGAATATCTGTCTGCTTTGTAAGAATGACTCTCTTAAACAAATAGATCCGAAAGGGGCTTCCAGGGAGGTCCCTGGCCAGCCTTTCTCCAGCCAACGCCCTTTTCTAGTCATTGTTCCACACTTCTTTGTTAGAATTTTTTTTTTTTTCCCTCCCTCTTGCTTTTTTCCTTCCTGGTTAACTTCTCCAACGCTGCCACAACTAGCTTCTTCCAGGCAGGGACACCATCCCCCTTCACTCCCGAAGTCCCCAGGGCCTCCTCTGGATCCACTGTCCTATTGCCCAGAATCTTTGAGGTGGAACCTGGGTCACCTCAATCGCAGACAAGGTCCCTAAGCAGCCCTGGACGCCACTTCCCACCTGCGGGTCACCGTGGGCAGGGCCCACGGTCCACGTTCTAGAATCCTCAGCCTTCCCATCTGCAAAATGACGCCGGAGACCCATTTCCTCCACGCCTTGCCAGCTCCAAACAAAATCTTCATTTCACAGAAGGGGGTACTCCTGGGGAAACTTTACCACATTGTTAAATGGAAGTTACTGGAGAGGGGCACTCAAATGACCCATGCCCAGAAGGACGAGGGGTTTGGTTGGCTGGTACCACGAGGCTGGGTCTCTCTCCCGGTTTGTCTGCGTCTCCGCCAGCGGCTGGGGCCAGACTTTTGCACGGGTGGGCAGGGCGGGGGCTCGCGAAGAGTTGGGGGGGAGGGCGCGGGGACCCGGGACGCGCGGGGAGATGGCGGGGAGGGCGCGGGGACCAGGGGCGCGTGGGGAGACAGACGGCAGGGAGGGCGCGGGGCACAAGTTCTGCGTGGGGCTGGGGTCGCCGCGTGGCGCGGGCGCAGACTCACATAATGTTTGTTGGGCACGCGCCGCTTCTGCACGTCCAGCACCTTCACCTCCACGATGCTGCGCCGCGGCGGCATGGCCGTTTTCCGCGCCCAGCGCCGTGCGGGCCGGGCCTGGC